CAGGCAGCACAGCCACGGGTGCTGTGGGTGAGTGGCTGCGTGGAGCCCTTTTGTGCTGTAATTGAGTGATGCTAATTAGGTTTCAGCAATTCTTCTTAGGCTGTAGTTGCTGCTCGCCGGTTTGGGGCTGCGGGTCTAGAAGCTTTATCAGCTGCTGTAAGGCACGATTGCCTCTTCCCTCTCCAGCCATGCCCCCGGCCTGGCCCTCCCTTGCGCCTGCGCTGGCTCTTGGCAGAGCAGAGTGATAGGAGACCACAAGCAGACATCGAGCGGGCCAAGAGCAATGGGAGAAGGTATTGTGCCACCGCCTTGGCACACAGCTTCCTTTCCAGCAGCTCCCCACACTGACTCCAAATGTGTCGTCATCACTGCAGCCAGCATTGGGGGGAGAGTCTGCAAGCAAAGTGAGTTTGTGCAACAAGATTGGGGGTGGGAACGCTCAAACTGGGCTCATCCTGGAAGTGTGCTCCAAGCATGGCCTCCAGGAATGGCCCCTGGTTAAATAGCCATAACAGACCACCAGCCTTTAGTTATTTAATACATGGTTTATTGAGCTGGGTTGACTAAATTGCCAGTCTGACCCACTCCCCCTCGCCAAGCCCCAATGCATCACTGGTGAAACTGCAGTTGTGCTGTAGTGGCCACCAGTGTGGGAAGAGTAGCCCTGGCTGGCCAGCGTCTGATCCATCGAGAGAGGGTGGGGGAACTGAAATCCCTCCTTGAGCAGTCCCAGGCATAAATAAGCCACCATGGGGTGTTCTGGGCTATCGAGAAATGGCTCCACTGTGCCTTGTTCTCCCCATGGCAGGCAACAGAAAAGGTGCATGAAGGACCCCGTAAGAGCAGAGATGTCTGGGATGGACACACTGATGTCCTCTCTCTTGTCCCTACCTGCCCAAGGGACCACAGAGCATGGATCACCTGGGTCCCAGCAAGCTGCCCCTTTCCGTCCACGTGCACAAGGGGATGGGGGCAGCCAGATGACATTTAGCTGGTGCCTTGGCTCAGAGGGAAGGAGGTCAGCTACAAGATGGTGCTCAGCATACACACGCAGGATCACATAACAGTATGGGACATGGGGGGGTGGACCTGGGCGGAGCTATGAAACCATAGGTATATAAGCTAAGAGCTGCTCACAACTTCAGAAGTGCTGGATCACAGCTCAGGACCATGTTGTTGGGTCTGAGGCAACCAGAGATATGGGGACAGCTGCCATAGGAGCGACTTGCAAGACAGTCAGGAGCTTTAGGTGCAAAAGACCCCAAGCCTTCTCCAGAGCAATCCTCTGGGAGCTGTGGCAGTGGAGCTGCCAGGGCTCAGGGCAGGAGTTGTGGAGCAGAGGTGCCTGATGGATATCCTGGGTGGAGAGGTGGCTGGGGCTGGCAAGTCCCCAGTGTCCACACCAAAGCAAAGAGCAGGTGGGAGCTGAGAGAAGGAACACCTTGCAGGAACAGCCCTGTGGCTCTGCTTGGCCCAAGCCCTGGCCTAGTGCTGCGGCTGATGTGGAAGCACTGAGAGACAAGCTGGAGTTGAGCTTGGTGGCTCAGGTGACCAGGCAGCCCCTGCCCCCGGCTGCTGGGGAGGGGACAGTTTTCCTCCCAGAGACCTGCAATGTACATTCACAGAGGCAACCAAAGTACCTAGTCTCTAGTAGCTGCCCATGGTCTCACAGGTGAGCTGTGGTAAAGCTGCAGGTCCCAACCAGAAGCTGGTCTGGTGCAGCAGGAGCCCTGGCCTGTGATTGAGGACTCAGTAGTAGGTGCTGAGGAGGGTTGAGACCTTGTGCAGGAGCTCCTTGTGGTTGGCATGCAGGGGGATTCTCCTGTCCAGCACCTGCCAGCGGATGCACAGTTCCGGATCGCAGCCCTGGAGGAACTGGAAGGGGACCAGAGACATCATGTACGTGCTGCTGGCGAGGCGCCGTGCCAGCCATGCTCAACAGCACCTCCAGTCCCCAGCCTCCTGCCCTTTCTTTTTGGGGCCCCCGGCACAGTGCCACCCCATGTTCATCCCCATGTTCTTCCTCCACTGCATGCAGCTGGAGAAACGCACTCCTGATGAGGGCAAGATCTGGGTCTGGAGATCTGGCTCCCCTGCCCCATGCCCACTGAGAGCCAGGTCAGGGAGCTGTGGAGGCAGGGGGCCCATACCGAATTCAGCCGCTTCATCTCCACATCGTTCTGGTTGTCGAAGTGCACGTTGATGGCGACCGTCTCGACCCAGGCGTTATCTGTGTTGCGGGGATCATCAAGGTACCCCTTGTGTATCTGTGAATGGTGAAGGAATGCCACATTAGCAGAGCCCTCACCACCTCTCTGAGGGCACTGAGATGCCCCGGGGGTGGTGGGGCATCACCCCACAGCTCCTCTGCCCCGCTGGAGACCAGCGCCCTGTTCCCACTGCAGCTGGAGCCATAGAGAGCAATCGCAGTAGGCACAGACACCGGTGTGTGCAGCCCACCCCAGGTCCCTGGGCTGCCTCCCAGACCCCTGCGCGGTGCAAGGCCATTATGGCGTGTCTCCATCTCCCCTAGCCATTTCTCCCCAGTGGGAGTAGTGACCAAGGGGTATGACCACCATGCACCCTGCCTCTGTACCCTGGGGACACCCACGTGCCCCTGTGCCACCATGATGTCCACATGTCCCTGTACTGTGGTGATGCCCCCATGTGCCTGTACTGCCGTGACACCTGTGTGCCCCTGTACTGGGGTGATGCCTGCATGCCCCTGTACTGCTGTAACACCCGCATGCCCCTGTACCACTGGGACACCTGTGTGCCCCCCACCTCAGTGCCTTGTTTCAGCAAGTTCTGGAACTGGGGCCAGAACTCTCGGCGCAGGATCCACTTGAGCTTCAGTGGCAGCATCTCGCCCGGCTCCAGTGACCCCTGTGCCAAAGCAGATATCAGCCATGGGGCCTGCCATCAGCCCAGCCCAGCCTCCGTCACTGCCACCAGCTTGGCCCTTGGGCAGTTGCCACCACTGCAGAAGATGCCACAAGCTCTGGTGGGGGGAGCAAGCAGCGGTGGTACCTCCCTCCCTCCCTCCCTCCCTCCCTCTCCTGCCAGAAGTTGTCAGCTGTGCCCAAGCATGTATCTGAGTTTGCCTGATTCAATGTCTGGACCTCTCTGTCAAAGGACGCTATGCCAATGGCTTATGTCATGAAAGACATGTGAGAACTGAAGATGTGGAGGAGGAAGAGGAGGAGGAGGAGGAGGGAGAAGCAGGAGATAGGGAGTAAGGGTGGGTAGGGGTATGTAACCTCACCACTGCTCCCCCAGCAGTCTTGGCAGCAGAGCCCCCACCCCCAGATGCTCTGTGGGAGGGGGCAGAGGTACCTCCTTGGAGAAGGCTGTGACACCCATCTGTGTTTCTCCCTTTTCTGCAGGGCATCCAGCCATTGGGTTGGGCCAGCCCTGCCTCCCCAGACCCTTCTGCGCCAGCTGGTTTCCACCAGCTCTTACCCCGGGCAGAGCCCAGACATCCGACAGCGGGTACTGGGCTACTAGGACTTCCAACATCTTCTTCAGGTTCTTCCTTATAATGGACCCATCCAAATTCCTCCTCCAGCTGTGAGAGAGGCCCCTGTTATGCTGCAGCTGGACTCAGCTCCCCCCTACCCAGCAGTGGTTGAATGGGCAGGGGTGGGTTTTGCCAGGTCCCAGTGTCTCTGAGATGGCTTCGTGCCCCCTTTTCCATTCCACCTCCCCAGCCCCGTCCTGGAGGAAGGACATCTGTCTGTCCCCACACACTCACCGGGTCACAATGGGGTGCAGGGCATGGTTGGGCCCAAAGCAGTGCAGCCTCCCACGGCCTCGCAGCCCTGTCCTGCCCATGGGGTTCCTGGCAGGAAAAGAGCAAGCAGGCTGGGATGGTGCCAGGGTCCCTCTGCGCACCCCATCATGCTGATCAAAGCCCTATACTGCTTCCCCAGATTTTCCACCACTGCACTGCACCTCTTCTGGGGTTACGGATTTTTGGAGGGAGGACAGCTCTGAGGACGATGTGTGCCATTATCCCTGCCCCACCATTAGCCGCAGGGAAGTGGGAAGGGGATGGATGCACCCAGGCCCCCCTGGATTCTCTGTCTCCATGGTGCTTTGCCTACAGCCAGGCACCCCAGCTCCCACTGAGCCCGTCTGCCCCTGTGGCAGATGCACTCACAGCGGTAGCCCGTCCTGCACGGCATAGAGGCCGTGGAAGCTCTGCCGGTTGATCAGCCCATCCATGGTGTTGTAGTTGATCTTCAGGAGAGACTCCAAGGAGCTGAGGGGTGGGAGGCAGCCCAGCAGGGAGGCTTGGCTGTGCCACCCAGGGGAAGGGGCAGAGGAGCGGGGAACCACAGGGAGACACTCACAGGCTGAACGGGTCCTGCACAGCCATGTCCTTGTGGTCGGCCGAGTAGGCAGGAGGGTCGTAGAGTGGGAAGTCCACCTGCCGAGCACATAGCCATGTCAGGCCCCGCCTTGCATCCCTGCTCTGGCAGCAGGCAGGGACTGGGACCCCCGGGGACAGTTTCTGCCCCAGTCCCTTCCTCTGCCCAGCTCATAGCATCATTCCCCAAGGCACGTAGGGCTCCGGGCCCTGCTCGGGGGCTGAGCTCAGGGTCTCGGCTGGAGGGTTGGTGTCTCTCACTCATGCCCCCATGGAAGCCAGTGCCAGATCCTGTCCCTGACCCTGAGCCAGCCCTGATTCAGGAAATGCGGAGGCGGGTGTTTGTTCCCTCTGTCTCCCAACCGAGCATCCCCAGGCATTCCTAGCACTGCAGATCCTAGCAAGAACAATGCCTGTTCACCTCTCCTTGTCCCTGGGAGGGCCTCGGAGCAGCTGCTCCAGGAAGCCACTTGTCTGAGGGCTGGGAAAAACAGGAGCTCCCAAGTGTGACATGGGTGCGACGATGGGTCTGTTCCTCTTCCCACTGCCATCGGGATCTGCCCCACGGCCCCCCTCCCAGCCCTGCTGCCCAGGGTCACAGCTCCTACCTCCCAGGGCACCTTCTCATCCGGCACAGGGAAGCGGAGGGTGTGAGACCCTGGGTACAGGAGGTTTCGGGCAAGTACGTGGTACGGAGGCTGGCTCTCCTCGGGTTTCCCCTCCAGGTCAACCTCCTTCATCTCTGAGGCTTTGCTGGAGCCTGTGAGGCAGACACAGACAGCGAGGCCCCACAAAGCAGGGTGCTGAGTCCGGTGCTGCGGACCGTGGCTCTGCTGAGGGGGCTGGCTGGGTCTCTCCATGGGGATGCTGATGTCCCCTGGGGGCCTGGCCCCCGGCATCCCTTCCAGCAGGCCCTAGAGGAACTCCCCCAGGGATGCTGCAGTGGAAAGCCTCAGCCATGGGCTCCAGGGAGGGCTCTGGAGTGGAGGGTGGGAATGGCTGCAGGAGTGGCTGGACGGCCTCTCAGAGCCCCCAGACCTCCCGGGGCCAAAGGGGCCTCTGCCTCTGTCTTGCTGCTTAACAAAGGGGTGCGAGGGGCTGCTCAGCCCTGGTCTGCAGCGCTGTGGGTGCCAGTGTAGGGCTCCAGGTTTCCCAGGTGCTGCTGGGGTGGAGTTGGGCTCCGCTTACCCATGGGTGGCATGTCCTCTCCTGAGCTGAAGCCATTGCCCTGCAGTGCCTCCATTATCCACCTCAGGGCCTGGGCACTCTGATGCACCTGTGTGGGACAGGAGAGGGTCAGCCCTGCCGGACCCCAGCTGCCCCCTGGGCCGCCTTGCTCAAGTACTGCAGGATACAGCCCTGGCAGGAGGCACTGCTGCCCTTGGCTCCTGGCTGCTCACCCCCTAGGGCAGCAGCAATCCTTGCTGTGCCCTGATGCTCAGCTTGGAAAACCATCTCCAGGGAAACATTTTTTCAAAGTGGGTGGAAATAGAAGTGGAAACAGCAGCCATGCTGCAGCCGTCTCAGAGAGGAGATGCCAGGGCCCGGTCTGGCTCCCCGGGCACCCCACTGCTCATGCAGGATGTGGAACAGCTTCACGGGGAGGGGGCAGAGAGTCCCCCATCTCCAGAAGGTCTGGAGGGTTCTCTTGGGCCAAGGAGAAGAGCTGGGTCAGACCTAACTGCTTGGGTGATCAGTGGAGGCAGGGACTCATCCCGCCACTTCCCATCTTCATCCTATTCACTTTGGAGTCAAACAGAACATTTCCCATAAACCTTTTCCTCTCGGATGCTATTGTTTTGACAAGGAAACTCAAACTGTTTGAGGGGGGATTGATTCAGAGGGGCTTTCTCTTGTGCTCTGGTTCCGTTGACTCAGCCCCTGGAAAACCTCATCTTTCTTAGGTAGTTGCTCAGCTTTTGCCTCACCTGGTCTTCCAGAGAGGCCAGCCTCTGCTCCACCAGCCTTGTCCTCTTCACCCTGTCCAAGTCCAGCAGCTCTGCCAGTACATCAACCCTGGAGGGACAGTGCAGAGAGGAACCCCCTCAGCAGCCACCCCTGCACTAATCCCAACTCTTCGCCACCCAGGACACTGGAGAACAGAAGGATGTCCCTGTCTCAGGAGTGCTGGTACCTCTGTGCAATGTCTCGGATCTGCTGCTCCGTGTTCTGCTTCTCCTGGCACTGCTGGTGCTGCAGGTAGTTCTCCTTCAGGTACGTCTCCCAAGAGAGGAGGGCAGCTTCTTCATTCTTCTCCAGCTTCTCTTCTGCCAGAGGAAGGGGATGGCAATGCTGTCAGATCTTTGAGCATCCCAAACCCTGGTACTGCAGCCCAGATGCCAAGCCTTGTGTCTCGGTGCACAGTGCCATGCCCCGGGGAGGGGGCAAAGGGCAGGAGGGGAAATGCTGGTCCTCACTGAGCTGTTTGTGGTGCGTGGCCGGCCTGCGGAGCAAGCCTCGACGGACCAGGATCTGCAGGTGGTTGAGGAGGATGAAGGGTGGAGGTGCAGGTGGGCGGCCGTGGTACTCCTCGATCAGGTCATGACGCTGGAACTTCCAGATCTGGTCTGTGTGCTCCTGGACCTGCTGGAAGGTGTAGCTGGGGCAGAGCCCAGGTGTCAGCTGTGCCATGGGGATGAGGGAGCACATCATGTCTGTATGGTGCCTCAGCTCCTACCCATCTCCCTGCTCAGCCCTGGCCTGCACCCGCTACTTCCACCATATCTATAACCCCCCCCAAAGCGCCCCTGTGCTCTGGTCAGCATGTGTCCCAGGACCCTCCTTGCACTTTCTCAGTGTGGGGTGCCCTGGCCACGGCCAAGCCTGCAAGCAAAGCCAGCTTGATTCACTCTCAGGACCATGGGGCTAGATCAAACTCACTTGAACATGGCAATGAGGAGGTTGAGGAGGAGGATGTTGGTGAAGAGCAGGTACAGGCACAGTAAGATAACTGTCAGCCACTCTGGGAAGATGGGTTTCTTGTTGTCCTCATTTGTCTCTGGGCACTTGGGCTTGTAGGGGTCAGTCCCATTGGGGCTACACTGGTCGATGTTGAAGTTGACCCCTGCAAGAAGGCACGGCATGACTCCACTGCAGCCAAACCTCACCCGTGTCTCAGGGAGCACGTTGTGCTCTCTGAAAGCAGCCAGCAACAAGGGAGCTTAGCACCGGGCAGGGATTTGACCTTAATCTGTATCATCCCAGGTGCTCTGCTCACTGCCACCAGCTTTGCAGCTGTGGCACTGAGCTGGATCGACTCATGCTCCTATGCCTTTGCTAATGTGCTTTCTTGACTACTTGGGCAGGTGCAGTCCCTGGGTTTGCATTGGTGGCAACGCTCCCAGTGTGCCAGAGCAGGGTTCCATCCCCATGCCGTGTCATTGCTCACTCCTGGCCTTATGTTGTGCTTGGAGAGGAGCCCTGTGCGGGACTTCCACAGGCCAACATGACAGGAGCTAGGCAAACTATGGCATGAGCTTGGCACCCCTCAGCCTTGTCACAGCCACTCTGCTCATGCCACGCGCTGTCACAGGCCAGTGTCCCTTACCATCGATGTAGGAGGGAATCTGCCCAAAGATGGTCAGGTAGGAGTGGTAGACCACACCACGGAAAAGCCACTCCACACGTTCCTCGTTGTGGATCAGGATGGCCTGCTTGGCAACCCCAAAGGACACCACCCACACTGCTAGCAGGAAGAGGAAGAAGAAGACATCCTTCATCTGCAAAGAGAGAGGGGAAGCAAAATTGTGTCCTGGAGGCGACCCCACTCCAGGATAGGATAACACGGGTGGCACATCCATCCCATGCAGGCATCTGGCTGCTCTAGCTGATCATCCTGGCAGGATGGAGGGGAGCTCTCACCATGCGCTTCACAATGATGATCTTGGGCCCCAGCGTTTTACTGACTGTGAAAATGTGCATCAGACGCAGGCAGAAAATTATAAAAGCCAGTGACAGTATGATGCGCCCAGGATATAAAGTTGACGGGATCAGCCTGGGCACAGAAGAGAGGAAAAGAAATATCTCAGTGCCACCAGTGTGGTTTTTTTTCTGACCTTGCAGCATTACATTTCTGCAATATCAGTGAGCTTCCCCAGAGTGCTGTGTGAGAGTTGCGGCATGAAAAACATCTCTCCTAAAAGCAGCTGAAAGCAGAGGCAAATTGGTCAGAATTAATCACATGACCACAAAAATCTTCATTGGCCTTTGGAAGAAAAAATTGCAATTAAAAAACCTGCACAATTCTCACACTAGTTTTGTAGCCTACAGCTGTGGCTTGAGCCAGCACAGTGCCAGGCAAGTGGCTCTGCAACTCACCTGCAAGTCAGCCCTGTGATAAAGACTAGGATGGCACAGATATCCAACTTATTCCAGAAGTCCTTGAAGTACAGGGAAGCCATTTTCACAACCCCAAACCCATCTGGATCATACAACAGCTGTTGGGAAGAGAAGAGGGGTTGTTATTTCAGTGAAAGCCTTGTAAGATACTCATGTGCCTTGTAGAAGGGGGGGACCGCACAGACCTGCTGGCCATCACTGGACCCTCTTGCTTACCCAAAGTTAACCTGAGCCTACAGGGCATGGAAGGAGCATGGGGAGAGATACCTGAGACATGGGGCTCTTTGGTGAAGAAAGGTGCTGAGATGTTGAAGCAAAAGCTGAAAAAAATCAAATGTCAAGCAAAGCCTAGAAATGCTTCTGGGAATAAATGCCCAAGGAAGGAGGTGGTCCCTCCATCTCCTGATGTTTTCAGCTCAAAACAGCATGTCTTTCTGCAAGTACCTGGGGCCAGGCCAGACACAACCAAGAAGGTTCTCCGGCCTCAGAGGCAGGGGGATCTGGCAGTCCCTTGTGCTGGGACCTCTCCAAATGGACGGTGACGTGAGAAGCAGCATGGGAACGTGAGCTATGCAGGACCTTCCAGGAGCACCCAGAAGGGTGTCTCTCCCTCCTCTCACCTCCTCCCAGCTTCTGCTCTGCCTGCCCCGTACCTGGCGGGTCTCCTCGCACACCAGGGAGAAGAGCCAGAAGTAGATGAGGTACTCCCGCCAGGACGGCAATGGCTGGAAGTCAACCATCAGGACGTAGGCGAAGAGCAGGAGGAAGGTGAAGTAAGAGAGGATGTTCATGTGGAAGATGACAACAGGTGCTGTGAAGAAGGCTTGGAGGCGCGTCAGGCAGCCCACAGGCTGCAGCCTCTTCTCCCTGCAGGGAGCAGGGGTGGAAGCAGGGCTCAGCTGCCCAGGGAGATACAACGGCAGCTTCTCCCAGCCAGCCTTGGTGCATACATGCCCCAGCTGCAAGAAGTACCTGAAGGTGATGAGGCTGGTGTAAAGAAGTGGGAAGAACAGCATGCACGCGATCACCCGCCAAAGCCCATTGTCCACGCACATCTTCCCCCACCAGACTTTGGTTAGAAAGGCCTGTGAGGAAGGAGGAAGAGGAGCACTGGTTACAGAAGACCCCCCCCATCAGAGCGGGGCTGCAGGGCAGAGCTGCACTGCTGCCAACAAGGAACCCTGCATCTGGGGCAGGGGACACTTGGGCACTTCCCCTCCAAGCACCACTGCTGGGAACCCACCTGGACACCCCCATGGGACACAAAATTCATGTTCTTGGCCTCCAACGCCAACTGCAGACAGGTTGTCTTCCCCCAGGCCTCAGAGACACGGGTGAGGAGCTTCTGGGCTCTCTCTTCATCCTTGCGATAGCAGTCTGTGAACACGCCTGGCCAGACAGGGACCAGGGAGATAAGGCTGAACTCCGGGGCCAGCTTGGTGCTCAGCAAGGCGCCTGCAGAGTCACCCTTTGCAGCAGGATCTGGACATTGCACCATGCAGTGGCACCCTCTGCACTCCCACCACCACCCGGGCAGTCCTTGCAGCACCATGACTCCGACTGTGACAAGAGGACCCCTGTTTGGCCCCACCCATCACCCCCCAGACACCTCCTGGGCAAAGCTAGCCAGCCCTGCAGGGTGTGAGAGCAGTTCTGGGTTGCTGGTCCCCTCCCACTCACCGATCGCCTTGTGCTCGTACTGCTCAGCCAGCGCCAGCATGTCATCAGTGGTGTCGGTGTCGTCCTCCTCCTTGGCGAGCTCCTTCAGGATTTTGCTGCAGGCCAGCGCAGCTGCCATGCAATCCTGGCTCTGGAGCAGAAGAGGTCAGAGAGAGCATGGGGCTCTGCGCCTTATCCTGCAAGTCCCGGCAGTCCTGCCAAGCCCTCCATGGCTCTCATGGGAGGGAAGGAGGGTGTCCCAAGCAGACTGCTGCTCAGGATGAACAGCTTGCTGTGACAAGGGCTGAGCTGTGCTGCTCTCTGGGTGCAGGGGCAGTAGGTAACCCACTGCCATGGGGAATCCAGGGGCACCCCTGCTCTTCTACTGGGAAGCCTTGGGTGGCAGGATGGTGTGACTCCACGGCTCTGCATGGCATGCTGACCATGCTGACAGCCACACTGTCTCTTGCCCTGGAGATGCTGTTTATGGGTGGAAGCCTTCTCCACCACAGCTGCCATGCCCCTGTGTCCTGCCTGTGGTGTGCTGAGCCCCCTCTCAGCCTTTGCAAGGAAGAGCACACTTCTGACCCAGCACATCATCTCTGCCTGCAGCATGCATTTTGGCTGGGAAGGGAGGGATCTGGCATGATGGTGCATGTCTGGGGATGAACATCAAGTGTCCACAGGCTCACTAGCTGGCTCCCATTTGGCTGGGGGTCAGGTTCAGGCACTGCCATGGGCCAGATTGCCTGCTGTCCCAAATGACAGCAGGTGCAATCTTTCCTCTTGGGGCTGGGAGGTTTGGCTCCATCTGAGCCTCTCAGCTGGGACTGATAGCTCTGGGCTGTGATACCTGGGCCCAGATGATTTCTGCCAGCTCCTTGCGGTTCTGGACCACAGCCCAGATAAGCAGGTCGCGGACTGGGTCCATGGTGAAGGTGGCTCGGCCAGCAGAGCGCTTGTAGAGGGACCGGAGACTTGACCCCTGAACCTGCAAGGCATGTGATGGTCAGACCCATTCCCCTGCCAAGATGCTGCAGAAAGCAGACAGCCCCTCAGCACAAAGCCACCCCCGAACCCTGGGTGCCTGCCTCCACCACACATGGAAGGGCTTTTGCTGCAGATAGCGGGGTGGCCAAGACAGGACTCATCCTGGAAATGCTACTTTTTCTAGGGCCAGGATCATGTGGGGATGTGCCCATCCTGCCTAGTGCACCCACCCTGGGTCCTGCCCACCAGAGTCACGCAACTATGTGGTGCTGCGGGTGTAGGATGGTGGCAGTCACACCTTGAATGTGTGGCAGATGACTTGGGCAGGTCTTTAAGGGACTTTAAGTGGGATTCTTGAACAGGCAAGAGGACAGAGACCCAGCTGCAACCTCCAGGAGGGTTTTTTGAGCCAGCATCCCCATCCCTAATGCAACCCTACCACCACATAACCTGGAGATGCGTACATTCAGCTTGATGTGAGGGACGGGGATGGAGAGCCGGGGCCGCTCCGTGTGCTTGGGCTTGGGGTAGAGAGGCTGTGTGGAGCAGCCCAGGAGCTCTCGCAGCACCTGGGAGACGTGGTGCAGTTGGGTTCTTGGCATTTTGGAGCCAGCTGTGTGCTCTCTCTCCTCCAGCAGGACCTTCTGCAGCTTGCTGTGGAACAGGCAGGATGGTGCCATGTTGTCGTAGAGGTAAACCAGAGTGTCCCAGGTGACAAACTCCTTGAGACGTACTCCCTGCTCCAGGAACAGCTTCACAAACTCTGGCTTGTTAGAGATCAGGGCGGCTGCCATCACAGGGTGGAGATCTGTGGGCTGGCAGGCCAGAGGCAGATGTGAGGGGCTCTATGGCCCCGGAGCAGGGCCCCACCATGCTCCTCACTCAGATGGGGGGAAGATTTTATCCCTGAGCACACAAGGAGTTTCTGGGTGTGAGAGAGAAGCTGGGAAGTACTGGGACTTGTGGGACATCCCCCAGAGACACACTTCTGGGTTAGTATGCCCTCTCCTCTGGCAATGAAGCCCTCTGCTCCCTTGGCTGCTGGGTGGAGGGATAGGGTAGGGTAAAGGGTAGACCCTCTTTCCTCAGCTCACAAGGATGCACCATACTAATGAACAGGACCTCACAGGCTTGTTCTCTGTGCACAACTCTTCAACTGAAGGATCATGGTGCTGTCAGCTGGATCTCAGCCATGGGGAGACTGGCTGCTCCTGATGGCCACCCAGTTCAGCCTTTGTGGGGTTTTCCTTTCCAAGGCAATCTTTACATGTGCTCAGAAGTGAAAACAAAGCCCGTGGGTAAGGGGGTACATGTCTGTCCTGGCAGGAAGGTACCTGCTGACCCTTCTGCCACAGCTTGCTTTCAGCCTCAGTTTTTCATACCAGCCACATTGGTCCAGGGCTGCAGCACCTTGTAACAGCCCTGGCCTGCACTGGCTAATCTGAGAGCCTGCCTCATCCTCCCTTCCCAACAAAGGTGTAGATCTTGTTCAGGCTGTGCATTTTCACACCATCAAATATTTCTTCTTCGGGATCCTGGTTTCCACCAGCCCTTCCCAGTCCCATGAAAGGTATGTGAGCTGGGGGAATCCAAACTGTCGAACGAAATCAGAAAATCCTTTCCAAGTCCCACAGCCCCAGCAGAAAGGACAGAGAACCCTGCTCAGCTTCGACTCCTCAACAGCTGGATCAGGCATGGGACAGCAGAGCTGGCTTGTGCTGCTCCCTGCCCCACTCTGCAGTAAAGTTTAAGCAGGGAAGTGCCAGGCTGGGTGAGGTGAGTTTAGAGACAAGTTGCCATTTGACAACATGGCATGAGCAGTGACCACAGGGCGGAGCTGGCAAGAGGTATTTTTGGCTCTAGGTTGGTGGATTGTCTTTAAAAGACATTGGTTTTGAACAAAATACCAATCAATCACCTTTGTAAACAATTATAAGCCAAACAGGACCTTTACAAGCAATGAATTGCAGGGTGTGCTCGCCTCTGCTCTGGGTGTTTGAGTGCACTTTTGAAAGGCAGGACAGATGAAGAGCCCCTGGCAATGTGGTGGGAGTTTAAGGTCCAAGAGAAATGTCCTCAAAAACTCTCCCTAAGCACAGTCGAGGTGAACAGTGCCCTCAATATCCACAGTCTTCAAGTGGGACCTGACAAGCAGTAAGCCTGACCAGACAAGCAGCACAGGTACTCCCTTACCTTCCACTCGTGGTCGTCTGTGAAGATCTCACTCCGAGCAATGTCCACCCTGTTCCAGGCCACAGCTAACTTCAGCTGGTGGTCCCAGTTCTCACGACCAAAGTGGTCCTGGTTTCGGGATGCTGGATGCAAAGTGCATGTGTTAGAATAGAGGACCATTTATGTGGCGAGAAGATACCACCTGGAAGCCCACTTGGAGGCCTGGCCCTTTGGGAGAAACATCTCTCCCTGATCAGCTCAACATCATGAGGTTTAGGGACCCCTTTGGTGACCCCATAAGTCAAGCAGCTGCAGGAGGTGACTTGTGACCCCCATCCCATTCATCTCTCCCCATCCTCCCAAGCAGCTCCCCACCCCTCACCTTTGAACAGGGCCTGGAGGATGGCCACATCCACGTCCTGCTGGCCATATTTGCCCTCTCTGAAAATGGTCAGGAGCTGCCGGCTCCGCACTATGTCTTGGATCTACAAGGAGAGCCGTGGGCAAGCAATCAGCAGCAGCATCTCCTCCCTGCCACTTCCTGCAGCCCCCTGTCCTGTGTGGGGTAATTCCTTGCTCCCCTCGGGTTGCCTGCAGACCCCCTGTGCTGTGTCTCCCAGCCCAGCTGGGGTTGGTCCCAAATGGTACCTCTCTGCCCAAAGGGAGCAGGCAGTGGAGAAGCAGAACTCAAGCCCTCGGGGTGCCTACCAGGACAATGCTGAGCATGCTGGGAGGGAGATGGACGGTTGGCAGAAGATAAGCCTTAATCTTGATGCTGGGAGCCTTGCTGCTCATGGGCAAGGACCCCTGGGGACCCCTTTGGTCTCCACAAGCTCAGTGCGAGGAGCTGTCTGCCTGCAAAAGGCTCACCTTCTTGGTCCACTCCACCAGCTTGCCCTCAGTGAAGAGCTCATAGGTGTCATGGAAGAACACGCTCAGCTTCTTCTGGATCAAGGCAATGGTTATCTTGGGCACAGACAGGCTGGCCACCTGTGCAATTACATCAGCCACACGCCCAGACCCTTCCACAATCACACAGGGGATCCCGTTGGTGATGGCGTTGTAGATGGTCTGCAACAGAGCAGAGAGGCTGGTCCTAATCCCACCCAGAGGCCAGCAGACCCTCTCTGAGCCTGAGACCCACACCGCTGCTCCGCGGCGCTTCCATTCGGCTGCATTTCAGCTAGTGTGGCACAATGCTTACACCGACACCAGAGGGCAGCACCCCGGGCAAGGAACTGTTCCCTCCCACCACCACCCCCTCTCAGCTCTACTGGGAATTGGTAGGAGCACTTCCTTACGTCGAGTGTCCCGGGGCCTCCTTCTAGCACCACACATACGATGGGGATCTTGATGGCGACACCTGTGGGGAAGCAGAGCCCAGGGTCACCTCCCTGTGGGGCAGCGCCCCCCCCTCCATGCAGCTGAATGCGGACCCCTCTGAGCGGTGGGGTGTGAAAAGCAAGGTGGGACCACTGCCCCTGACATGCCAGGCTCTAGGAGAGAGGGGAGACGATCTCCTGGCAGTCATGCTGCTGGAGCATGTGTGTGCATGTGTTAGAATAGAAGATCATTTGCACAGTGAGAAGATACCACCTGGAAGCCCACTTGGAGGCCTGGCCCTTTGGGAGAAACAACTCTCCCTGATCAGCTCAGCATCACAAGGTTTGGGGACCCCTTTGGTGACCAGTCAAGCAGCTGGCAGAGAAAGGTTCTTTGATTTGTGTCACTGAGGAACCAGGTTCCACATTTATCATGATAATCCTCTCAAACCCGTTGCCTGGATCCTCCAGGGAAGCCACAGCCTCCCCTCTCACCAGAGGCCAGGATGGGCACCCCTTACCAATGGATGGTCCATCCTGCCTTGTGCCCTCCCCTGCCTCAGGCCTGGCTATGTGTTGCCATTACCTCCTTTCACCTTGGTCTGCTCCGAAATGAACTTCTCCAGTCTGGTCCTCAGGGGGATTTCCACCCCATACCTCCCGTGGGTCCCATCGTCCACCAGGATGAAGTGGGAGTGGTTGCTGTCCAGGCATGACAGGCTGCCTTGGTTCTCCTCATCCAGTATGTACTCAGCTGGAAAGCCACCCTGTAACATGCGGGAGGACAGACTCTGGGAAAAGCCTGGCAGGGTTGCAGAGGAGCACCAGATGCCCAAAGCAACCAGCATGCAGGACAGGAACAGGCCAGCCAAAGAACAGTCTGGCCAAAGAGCCATCCCTGCCCCCCCTGCAGTCCTCATGTCAGCCTTGCCCCATGCTCCTCTGTCTCTGCTCCACCTGCCCTCACACCCACAAGGGTCCTCCCAGAAGAAGCACAGCACCTACGCAAGACACTGGGTAGCACAGAGGGGCTTCTCAGCAAACATCAGCCTGGGACCATCACTTCTTCTGGTGCAGCTGGGTTTTACCAGGCCTGCCAGCCACAGGCACGTCTTGAAGCACCCATTCCCACCACGGTCCTTGGCAGGACTTCCCCAGCAGTCCAGGCATAGGCAAAGCAAACGCATCTCCAACTCTGCCTGGCTCACCATGGGGCAGATGAGGCTCTCCCGGTTGTACACGGTCCCCCAGGTGGCTATACCAATGGTGACAATCTCACTCTCCTTGTGGCTGCAGCTCAGGATGAAGTCTCGCACTGCCTCTCCCACCTGTTTCATCACACCAGCGTGGGATCCCCCTGTGATGATCCAGGCCCCTGGGGGTCAGAGAAGGGCTTGGGAAGGGAGAGGATCTGTTCACAGCAATCTCCTAGCATCCCCCTATACGGCTGCAGGAACACCTGGTCCTCGGAGATGCTCCATCCCCCCAAAGATGTCTTCCCTGCCCACTACATCAAGCCCTGGCAGCACAGGAGATGCCTTCTTCAGCACAGTGTTGCATCTCTCAGTCCAGCTCCCCATGAGCCTGTTTGCAGTGATTGAGCAAGAACAGTCCATCCCTGGTGGTGGTAGTCCAGACAGGGACCTACAGGCCTTCTGGGCCAGCTCGGCATCTCCACAGCAGCCCAACTCACTAAACCTGGCATGGGCAGATGACAGGCCCCTCTCCCACTGCAATCACAGGGAGAGCCTCTGCATCTCTTACCAGTGGTCTGGGCCACTTTGACTAGCCCTTGCCGGAAGATGTTCTTCAGCCTTGGCTTCATGATGAAGTTTTTGGCTCCCCCAGTGACTGAGATGAGCAGGTTGGGTGCATCGAGGCCCCAGTGCTGTGTCATGAGGTGGTAGATGACCCGTGGAGGAGTATCCGAGGAAACGCGCACATACTGCAAAAAAGGGAGCATACATGCATTTTGGGTAAAAACAACAGGGTCAGGGTAACAGGGCACCTCCACCACAATTTGTCCTGTCCCAGCAAAGAACCAGGGGCTTCCCATGCCATTTCCCAGCAGAGTCCTGTTGCTGCTGCCCCAGGTCTTTGTGCATGACTCTGTTCCCATTCACTTCCCTGGGACCGAGCATTCCCAAGACGAACCTAAGGATGAGGACACGGAACAGCCACTCCTTGAAGCATGGGCCTCACAGCATGAAGATCAGTCTCGTGGTTTCAGAAAGGGACTAGGTACAGGGCTGGGAGAGAGGAGGGATCCTGTCCCACCCACCTTCCTCTGCTTGAGTCAGTATTGCCTTTGGGACATTTCCACGCTTTCCTAACCTCCTCTCATTCAGGAGGGAAATACTCGTATTTCATCTGCTATGGCAAGACCTGAACACTGGCTCCTTGTGCACCACAGATGGGAAAACCAGATCACCTTCCCCATCTTCTGTCCCAGGCCCGTGAAGTGGATATCACCGAAGGCATCTGTTGGCATTTCCTGGATGTGCCTGCTGGGATCCCATTCCTTCCCCAGGAAGATGGGAGGTTTGGCAGCATCTTCCAGGTGCTGTTCCCTGATATAGCCGCACTTGCACACAATCCTCCTGAAACACACACCACCAACTTTGCCGAAAACAATCTAAACCCAAAAGGCAAAACCCAGCTGGCCCACTTGCCTCAACCCAGGCAGGAGATGTTGGCATTCTTATTAAGAACACCACAAACACCGGCATCTCCCACCCAGCTCACCCTCCAGCTCAGAACTTGTGCAGAAACAAAGGCACTGTTTGGGGGAAAATTTAGCAAAAATTTGGTATTTCCAACTGTAGAGGTTTAGGACAAAAATGTTAAAGTTGCTCTGGATGAAGTACAGATGGAAATGACTGCATACGAAAGCATTGGAAAGGTTCCTCACTGGCACATAGGACATCAGCCATGTGGTGACACACAGCAGGGTGAAGAACCAGTCAAAAAGGAATTTGTGAATCCCCTTGACACCAGCTCCCTTGACAGAAAGGTGGGATTTTCTGGTGCTGTAACTTTGTCAACAAACACCCCTTCTGCTTTCCTGGCAGGGGAGGGGAATGAGGGACTGTCTGACTTACCCAGAATCTGATGTCTGGGAGCTTTCAACAAAGTAGGTGCACTCTTTCTTCCGGATGTTTTCAGGAATCCATGAGATGAGATTTTCCTGAGGGAGCAGGAAAAGCAGCAAGGGGTCAGGGTTTCTGCAAAGGGCCAGAAGTTATGCCAGGGACCAGACACCCTGGTACTTGGAGCATATCTGGGTGCTTCTTCTGATGCAAAGGAAGAAAGCTCCATGGCTATCTGCAAGGACAAAGCCAGGTGTACTCCAAGGAGAGGAGATATGAATGCTGGACATGACCTCAGATGTTTGGGGTTTTTCTGTCTGTCCCTAAAACTAAAGTGATCTGTTATTAATACTCCCGTTAATGAGTCACCGGATAACTCATTAACACTCTTCCATCGTGTGTGGCCCTCTTCCAGCACCTCCTGAACTTGCCTTTTCATTGCTGCCAGTGGGGAAATGTGCCTTCCGCCTGCTCTTCGAGACACTGCTACTGCTCTGCTGGAGGTTGGGGACCACCTCGAAGTCGCTCATCTTCCTGGGGTGCGTGGTGAGGTCGTCTTGTCTCTCGGGGCACACCTTGTTCAGTTCAGAGGGGAGCACCTTGGTGTGCTGGCCACGCATGGCCATGGCTGCTGTGTCTTGCCTCGCTTGGTCTCTTCTCTCCTGTTCCTAGGCTGGGAGGTCCTGAACATCTCCATCCTGAGTGCAGCAGAAAAGAAGAAGGATGCCCATGGACTTAAAGCACTGGGGCGTCCTGTCCATCATTCCCTGGGTTGAGAGATGACCACAGGAAACCTGCTGGACCCTCACCACGGTCCACGGACCCACCAGGGGCCATGTGGGTGGTGAACCAGCTTCAGCATGCACCATGCTGCCCCAGGCAGCCTGTTAGCCTCCGAAAATTGACCCTGCCACACTCTGCCTGCCAGCACAGCTGCTGGCCTGCCTGCTCTGCTGCCTGGCCGTCCACCAGCCCGCAGCTCTCCTCACTTGCTCTCCCACTGCAGGCAGCTGGGATATTTCTGGCAGCAGGGAGAGGAGAAACCAGGTCTCTTGTGCAAGCAGCCCAAGCATGGCCCTGCATGGAAAACCTGTATCAACACACTGGCTGCAGAGACAGGTCACTCCTCCGTAGGGGGGGGTCTCGTGCCCCCTGCAAAAGTCCCCTGAAAGCCCAGAGCTAAAACTGAGGTGCATACAGGCATGCGGCACAGCAGGGTCTGCAAAACTCCTGAGTCCTCCCAAACACTCACAGGCCCCATTGCTGAGCTCCTGAACTGCTGAGACTGGAGAGCTGCTGGAGCAAGGATGGAAAAGCTCCTGGGTGTCTCTGGAGCCCAAAGGGGGAATGGTGTCCTCTCAGGGGAGCTGTGATTAGGTAATGGAGGAAGCACAGCACTCAGGTAAGGCACTAGCGAAGCCGTGGGGACAGCAGGCCTGTGTTTAAGGAGGATTTTGACTGCCTTTCTGCAAGCCAAACACTGCATTACACCCAAGGGTGGGGGAGCCCTTAGGGGGGACAAGGAGTGATGGAGTAAAATCATGGCTACCACTGTATTTCCTTCACTGTGTCTCCTTCCCCAGGCTCAGTGCTGCTGCAGGCAGGGAGCAGCGAGGAAAAGCCTTTTTGTCAGTCTCATAGAATCATAGAATCAGAATCATTTAGGTTGGAAAAGACCTTTAAGATCATCCCTCCCAGGCTCCCTCTGGCAAGTACACAGCCCCACCGACCTGACCTTAGGAGCCAGATTTTTGACAGCCCGGCTTTCTGCATCAGAAAAACCTATGGCAGATCTAATTGCTTGAGAAAGAGCTGTCTAAATAAGGTCAAACACACCCTTAATTCTTGTTCCTGGCCCCCAAAGGGCAGGCAGGCTGGTGGGGGTTTGGGGCATGGCCACAAGCAGCTCATGCAGGAAGGGCTCTCACACCGGGTCCTCCATGGGCACCCCTGCGGTGAACAACCATGCTGAGAAAACACCCAGAATACCTGTCCTTAAGGGTGCTGGGGCCAAGGGCAGAGCCTCTCCGGCAACACAAGCTGCCTGCCCCCCCCAGCTTGGCAAGTACCGCGGGAGGGGGGCTGCACCCCCAAGGGGCATGCCTGGCAGCCTGCCCCACTGCAGGCAGCAAAGGACCCCTCACCCCGGGGGTAAGGTCACCTCTCGGCTGCACAATGTGGTCACAGCACCCATTGGGACAGGGGTGCAAAGCCCTGACTGCAGGCACTGAACACTGCCTATGAACCATGCCCACACACCCTGCCCCTTCACCAGCATGACCATACCTTCCCTCCAGCATCCTCTGGCCGCATCACTGGCTCCTCTGCTCCGTGCCTGTCATAGGGATTCAGCCCCACGTCCCTCTCCTCCGGCAGGTCATTTTGTCACTCATTGGAGACACAGACAATGAGCACAGAATAGGGCAGAGCTGCCTGCGAGCTGCCTGCAGAGAGGAGGAGATGGCAGGGTGGCTGGCAGCCTCCCAGCAAATCAGGCTGCGGAAGAGGTCCCTGCCGAGAAGCTGCAGCGCCCAGGCAAGCCCCGAGTTTGCTCGAGCGGCTGAGTCACGCTCCCCGCTGCCCGCAGCAGCGATTTCCACCTGCAGCCTCTAAGCGCACAGCCTCCTGCTGCCGTCAGCCCCACGCAGGGTGAGACACTCGCACCTGAGCCCCTCTTGGCAGATGTCATGAGCAGGGGCTGCTCGGGGGACGGTGGGGCCCCGGCACACAGATGCTGCCAGAAAGGAGTGGCAGCCTGAAGGCTCTGATGGAGGCTTGGATGCATCACAGGCTTGGCAAGTGTGATGAAAAATCATTTCCCTAACTATCAATTCAATCGTTCTTTATAGTATGAAAGTGTATTAACTTTATTTATATATACATATATATAATATACATATTAGTTATACACCGTGATGTGATGAGGTAGTGGAATTTTACTGGAGGCTTTGGTATTGTTCATGCTTAAGTAAAACAAACTAAAGGACAGCCCGGCCCTGAAAAGAAGGACTTTGCTTCTGGGAAGCTTAGAGTGGTCCATGAAGGATAAAGAACAGCTTTATCCCTGGGACAACCATGATAACGCCAGCATCCCAGCACCTCTGACACATCTTTGAAACCCTCCCAGCATCGTCTGACATCACAGATCAGTAACTCGAGCAAGACTGACTCCAGGGATGCCTGGATCAATAGACAAGCAGCAAGAATGCTGCAGAAATAGAGTGGCTTTGCAAAGTTTTACTGTGATTAGCAATTGGTAGCGTGGGTGTTAGTGATTAGTCCAATCGTGTTGTACCTGAACGTTTGAAGGGTGTAAGAACCCTGTGTAAAACCACATTTGGGGTGCCCCAGTTTGGCTGGGACACTGCATGCACATGAATAAATATTCATCGTTGTAATTCTATGCTTTGCATCCCAGCCTCTCTCCTCGGTCAGCACAAGCCAGGTGCAAATTTTCATAACACAAGCCCTGGGTGGGGAACCTCACTGTCACACCACAGGCGCCAAATACCTTTTGGCTGGTGCTTCCCACCTCCCTGTTTCAGATGGTCTCCTCCTCCTGTTATGCTCCATGCCCTAAATGAACTGGCTTCTCCACTGGATTTACAGCCACTTAGCTTGCATTTGCCACAAAATTTGCTTAACAAAACCATCATTCATCTTCCTCAGGAAATGTGCTAAGCAGCAAAGCAAGGCCAGGAAGGCAGCCAAGGCAGTGGATGCTGCAGCACTGAGCAATTTGGCCTGCAGCACCAGGACCCACCTATCCCCTACGGCTTTTGCTGGAGAAGACTGTAAAAGATCATGGGGCAGTGCCAGGAGACAGCTGGGAAGAGAGATGTTGCTGGTTCTCAAATGCAGGCAGGTCCTTCAAGTATGGGGCTGGAGCCCTGTGGCCTCCTTCCTGTTGTGATGGGCTCAGGTGCTGGGGCAATGCATTAAACAAACAAGTAGGGGTCCAAAGGAAAACACAGTGGTGTGATCAAGGCCTTTAGCTCACTTTCCGGACAAAGCATGTAAGTTAGCTTGGGCCATCTATGCAATGAGTTCTTCTAGTTTCCTTGAACAAGAGCAAACAGCTGAGACATTTCGCTGGGAGAACAGATGCCACTAATAAGGCAGTAAATAAAATCCATGTGCAATGCTTTACAGTTCAGTTGTAATTAACTCTGCACTGCCAAAAGAACTGAAGCCAGAACTGCATATTAATTACACATTAATGTGAATGTTCATCCGCTCTCAGCTGGCTAGCTCTCTGGAGACCATGGCTTTTATTTCACTTTTGCATGTGCCAAAACCACCGTGGCCTGGTGGGACCCGCGTGGAGCCAGCACGCTGGGGCGGTTCCCACTGCTCCTCCTAAAAGCCCAGATAAAATCCAGCAAGGCTGAAAGCAAATCCTGGCAAGTTAAAATCCATTTCCAACAGCAGGAGGAATGAGGTGAGAGCATGAAGGACCCTGGCCACTCTCTGAGGGCTGTGCCTGCACACATGTCCCATACCCCAGGTCAGGTTCAGCCAGATTGGTGTTTGTGAACTGGAATGCTTTTTCCTGCCAAAGAGCAGCAAACCTCCAGCCAGCACCGC